AAACTCCATCACACAGGTAGAAGAAGCAGCAGAACTATGGAAGGACATCCAAGATCGTTTCTCTGTTGCAAACGGTCCTCGAATTCATCAACTAAAGAAGGAACTTGCAAATTGCAAGCAAAACGGTCAGTCCATCGTTACGTACTTTGGAAAATTAAAAACCATATGGGACGAACTCGGCGATCATGAAAAAATCCCCGCTTGCAAGTGCCATGGATGCAAGTGTGGGATAAGCAAAGCGCTTGCCATCCAACGCGACAAAGAAAAGGTTCACCAATTTCTAATGGGATTGGATAACGAAGGATATGGGAGTCTACGATCTAACATCATCGCCACAGAACCCTTGCCACCACTGAATCGCGTATACTCCACCATCATCCAGCAGGAAGGGGTCTTGAAGACTACTCAAGAAGAGGAACGTAACCCGGTGGGCTTTGTCGTCACCTCCAAATTTGACCGTGACGCAACTAAGGATTTAAAATGCAAACATTGTGGGTTGAGCGGACACGAGAAGAGTGGTTGCTTTCAACTCGTTGGATATCCTGAATGGTGGGGAGATCGCCCACGTGTCCTGAACCCGGGACGAGGTAATGGCCGCGGCAACAACACTGGGGGACGGCGCGGTGGCAGGGGGGGCAACGCCGGCCGAGCTAACCGCGGCGGAGCTGGTGGCGGTCCAGCAGGCGGACCGGCGGCACACACGGCTCAGGCCAACGCAACGGATGGGGGACGTGCGCTCCATCAACCGAATCTCCCTTCTCTCACAACCAATCAATGGAATACACTTATGGGACTCTTAAACAAGAAGGATTCGGGTATGGAAAGTAAATTTTCAGGTATGACTAACACTTCTTGGATCATTGATAGTGGAGCCAGTCAATATATGACCGGTGATAAGAAGTGTCTTGAAAATTTGGAAGCAATAAAACCTTGCTCAGTTGGCCTACCGAATGGAGATTGTGCAATAACCAACCAAAAGGGGAGTGTGATTGTGGATAATTTGATCACCTTAGAAAATGTTTTGCTAGTTCCTCAACTCAATTGCAATCTTATATCTGTCTCACAACTTCTTGAGAAAAAGAATTTAATTGTCAAGTTTAATAATAAAATTTGTATTATACAGGACTATATCTCGAAGATGGTGATTGGAATAGGTGAGCAGGCTGAAGGACTATATTATCTCAAGAAAGGTGTGAAGGACAAAGTCTGCACTGTGAAGGAGGCGAAGGATCTGGACATTTGGCACAAGCGCTTGGGTCATCCCTCTTACACCACTGTCAACACTTTTCTCCATTTACCCAAAAATACCAATATCCCTTATTCCCCTTGTGATGTGTGTTTTCGTTCAAAACAATGTCGTGACTCTTTTCCAATTAGTCTGAATAAATCTATTACTCCTTTTTCCTTGATTCACTGTGATTTATGGGGTGGGTACCGTACTCCGTCTCGCACTGGGGCTAGATATTTCTTAACTATTGTTGATGATTTTTCTCGGGCAACTTGGGTGTATCTATTAAATCATAAATATGAAGCTCCTACTGTCTTGCGTAGTTTCTTTTCCATGATTGAGCGACAATTCAATAAACAAGTGAAAATTGTACGAAGTGACAATGGTACAGAGTTCACTTGTTTAAAATCTTTCTTTGAGAGTCATGGGATTATTTTTGAATCCTCTTGCGTCGGTACCCCACAACAAAATGGTCGAGTCGAACGAAAACACCGTCACATTCT